TAAGAACCTCACTTCTTCAGATGCAAGAAGTGAGGTTCTTACCCACGAAAGCTTATGCTCCCAATACTTCTGTTAGTCTTAAAGGTGCCACAGGACCCTCTGTTGCTTTTTACAGATTCAGACTAACACGGCTACCCCTCTGATACGTGCCAGCAATTGTCACTTTGCAAAAATGAGACGGGACTTTGCCAGCCTCAGATTTGAAACCGACCCCGGCGAAGAGACGAAGTCAGCATGAGCCAACCACAGTTGGAAAACTGCTCCCTGCTCAGAGCAAGTTCCTCGCTTCAGCACCGCAGCTAGGTCTAAGGGAGTCGAAATCCGCAGCCAGTGAACTGGGTGGGCAGAGGCACCGTGTGGTGAGGAACGCGGCGTGAACACGATCATCTGCAGCCCCAGCGTTTGTTCCCGAGTCTAAACTGAAACCGTGGGAGCATCCTCGTTGTGAATTCACACGGAGGTGCTATCCCCAGCCTCTGAGTCTGGTTCAGTCAGCGGGGAGCTCTGTAAATATTTGTCTGCGTTGAGAGCAACTGAGGACAAGTGCTATGTAAGAGCTCGGTGCTGTTCTTATTACTTACTCCATTCTCAGGTCTCCTTCCCAGGCAAACATGCCCTCCACCCAATGGAAACCCCGCAGCATATGCAGGAAAATGATTTCCACTAATATTAGCCCAAACCCGTAGCCAATCTCAGTGCTGTCAACCAGGGGTACGCAGAGTCTTCCAGGGGGTACATCACCTCATCTAGAGATTTGCCTAGTTTTACCACAGGCGACAGAAAAAGCCCCAGCGACGTCAGGACAAACTACAATTTCCTACAGACAATGACTTGCTTAGACTGATCTGTACACTAGACACTGAAATGTCAGGACAATGTTCATATCCCAGTGGATTTATTTTCTAATTATACGGTAAAAATGAGCCATTTTTCAGTAATAGTGTGGCCGTGACACTCGTATTTTTATATCTGATTTTGTAAGCAAGTCGTTTATAAGCAGAGAGAAGCAATTGACCGTTTCACACTACCTCCAGAACTGCCGACTTATCCAAATCCCAGAGCGGCTGGGTCCACACCCGGCGTGACCCAGGTCTCAGGTGATGCCGTTGGAAGAACACGCAAAGGGAGAGGTTCTCCGGGTAAAGCTTACAGAACATGCTAGTCTAGCTAAGTATTTATAGTGCCCTTCTCACCGTGCGCTCAGGAATTCAGGCAGCGGGGGGAAGCCGCAGGCAACCCAGAGTTTCAGCGTGGCAGCCGTGTTAGTCTATATCAGCAAAAACAACGAGGAGTCCTTGTGGCACCTTAGAGACTAACAACTTTATTTGGGCATAAGCTTTCGTAGGCTTAAGCCCACTTAGGGTGACCAGATGTCCCGGTTTTTAAAGGGACAGTCCTGTTTTTTGGGACTTTTTCTTATATAGGTGCCTATTACCCCCACCCCCTGCCCCGTTTTTTCACAGTTGCTGTCTGGTCACCGTAGGCTCAATTCATCAGATGCATGAAGTGAAAAATACAGGAGCAGCCTTTACCAAGGCTGAGGTCAGTCAGTGAAGGGGAGCACTTCAGTCTCTCTGCTCACTCAATAACAGACCTAAAAGGGGCAATTCTTCAATAACAAAAACTTCAAGGGCAGATTCCAACGTGAAACTGCAGAACTGGAATTAATTTGCCAACTAGATACCATCAGGTTAGGCCTGAATAAAGACTGGGAGTGGTTGGGTGATTACAAAACCTACACTTAATTTCCCCATTACTATTCTCCCTACTATTCCTCACACCTTCTTGTCAACTGTCTGTAATGGGCCACGCTCTTACCCCTTCAAAAGTTATTTTTCCTCCGTTGGTATCCTGCTGTTCATTGATTTATCTCGTAAACTTGACCTCAGCCTTGGTAAAGCAACCCCCAGCCTTTCATGTATTTATACCTGTCCCTGTATGTTTCACTTCATGCATCTGATGAAGTGGGCTCTAGCCCACGAAAGCTTATGTTAGCCTCTAAGGTGCCACAAGGACTCCTCGTTGTTTTTGCAACCCAGAGGAATGCTTGGCAACTTGGTAGTCAGCTGCAAACTGAGGAGGAGGAGGACGGGGCTTGGTTGCTCTTTTCAGAAAGTTTGGAGAAAGGAAAAGAAAGATATTTGGGGGGGACTCATGCCTGCGGAAATCGAATCCCATTAACAGAGGTGGTTTGACGTGCAACCCTCCTTTGGGCGCAGGGCGGTTGTTACTGGAAAGCCTGGCGCTTTGAATACCGGGGGGGGGGAGGCGAGAGACAGGTGGAAAGTAACAGGTACATGCTCACCTGCAGTGGAAGGCTGAAGGTGTGCCCGGGTGGGTGGCGAAGGAGCAGCTGGTGCCCCCAGCTCTGTGGCTCAGGCGGATCTATGCTGTCGGGACCGTCGTTCCCAGAGTGAGCTCAGGGTGGGCTCGCTGGCTTCTTCCACACACATACCCCCACCCCTCGGAGCTCTCTTCCCTACAGGAAACGTACATCATCTCCTGATATCCTGAAAACAGCCCAGCGCAAGGCCACATCGGACGTGATTCCTAATCCCTGGGGTCTGGAACGAAGATGGGTTTGGTTTCACTGCAGAGCTGGGGGGCGGGAGGGGAGGAAGATTTTGGGGACGGGTCAGATAGGACGTGAGAGTGGGGTAGGCCGCCAGTGGGCGCATCTTTTCCAGGTTAATTTCCTTTTCCTCACAGAGCGAGGCCCCAAAATCCACGGCCTGCCCCACTCAGACCCCCAACCAGCTGTTGCCTGTCCTGTTTGCTGAGCCGGAGCTCACCTGATTCTTACTTAGATTGCAGCAGGGCTCGCAGCGGCTTAGCCATGTGCAGGCAGGGAGGAAAGTGGCCTTCCTGGCTCTGGGTTAATCTGTGCCAGTGAATCAAGACAGGTTATGGCAGAGCTGTTATTGACCCTTGCCTAAGGCCCCCCCACTAGCTCCTGGAGTCGTGGGATGATGTCAGAACCTCCGCTTTCTTTTTGTTTTTTAAATCGTTTCTCGGTTGCAATGAAAATCTCAGTGCTGTCACCTGACAGTAACCATTGCCTGAGTGTGCAGAGAGCCTGCGACAGTAGCGCTGAGAGGCAGGGTCTACCCCATGTAGCTCAGGGGGGCGTTACTTCTAAGACCCACTTCTCTGGGCCAGAGATGGGGGGTGTGCCAAGGCTACACCTGGGGAGGGAGAAGGCAGTCCCATGCCTCTCTGTGTTGGGAGGAAGGAACCCCGATCACTGCCACACCAAGTGGGAGAGGGGATAGGAGGGCCTATAGCATTGTGTCTATAGGGGCCCAGATAGAGTTTGATCCATGGCTGGAATAAAGGAATCTGGGTCTGTCTAGTCCTTCCCCACAGTAATAGCTAAGCCCCTCCCCGCCCCGACCATTCTTTAATGTATCCCGAAACAAATCAGCCCCCCGCATGAGGAGGGGAAGCAGCATCCCCACATGGCGGTCGCCAGTCAGCTTAGTAGCGCCAGAATCCTGCTGGGGAATCACGGAGACATGGCTGCAGAAACTGGCAGAACGGCCCCAGGGCCAGCCCTGGTGAGCGACTCCTTCCCAGTAACTCAGTCTGGGAACATTGGCCCAGCCCCTTTCTGCCAAAGGGTCTTGAAAATGTTACTAATCAGCGGCCTTGCTTGGGGATGCAGAGACCTTACAGCTCTGATCGCTTCCTCCACCACTAATGGAGCCTTCTTTGGGGCACAACGCAGCCTGGGCCGCGTGACTGTTTAGGACAGAAAGCGGAGAATAAACTACCCAGTTAAAAGTTTGCGGGACTATCGCTGTGTGTTGTGGAGCCAACAGGAGGCCCCCTTCTCAGCTGCTATGTAATACAAATAATAATCAGAAACATTTTGTTCTTCTTCAGCTCCGTCCGTCTCCAGATCTCCCCGCGCTTGGCAAGAAGGAATGCCAACAGCCCCGTGGACCTGGCAAGGAGGTAGGTACCCACTCGACGTATGATCAACTAGTCCATCAGCCGAGTCTTCATGCAGACCAGTTCCTCCAGCAAAACCACCTCCTGGCCATGATACAACTCCTGCACAAGACATGTTTGCTCTGCAGTTTTGGAGGGGAAGGGGAAGGGGGCTCTGGCACGCCTCCAGCAGTTGGCGGGGGAGGCTGGGGGCATTTTCAGAGAGAACATTTTGCATTCAGCAATGAGCTGGAAAACAATTCCTGGAAATCTCCTTCTCAAAAGCAGAGAAGACATTGTGATCAACAATCAGCTCGGAAGGAAGGCCCAGCAGGAACAGGGAAGTGTGATGGCCCCTATAAGTCAAGCCTCTAACAAAACAAACCTTAGAAAGCAGGTATCCCAGGGACCCTGCCCCATGACTGCAAACGGGAACCCTTTGCCTTTATTCTCTTACCAAATGCAATGGGGCACATGTTGCTTTAGCAGCCCGTGGGTTACTGGCCTAGTGGATCAGGGGGAAGCGGTAGACATGATAGATCGTGATTTTAATAAGACTTTTGATGCAATTCTCAGAAGCTAACTAGGGAGATGTGGTCAAGATGAAAGTACTGTGAGGTGGGGGCACAACCGGTTGAAAAACCGTACTCAGAGAGGAGTTATCAATGGGTCGCTATCAAACTGGGAGGACATATCTAGTGGGATCAGTCCTGGGTCTGGCCCTATTCAATATTTTCATGGCTGGAGAGCACGCTTGTAAAATGTGCAGATAGGAGGGGTGGCGGACAGGATTAGAATTCAAGATGACCTCGATAAACTGGAGCATTTGTCTGAAATCGACAAGGTGAAATTCAGTAAAGAGGAGTGCAAAGCACTGCACTTAGGGAATAACTGGCCAGGTGGTTGTACTGCTGAAAACAAGCTAGGGGTTAGAGTAGATCACACATTGAATAGCAGCCGGCAATGTGATACAGTTGCCTAAAAGGCTAACATCATTCTGGGCTGTATTAACAGGAGTGTCGTACGGAAGACGCCGGAGGTAACTGGCACTGGTGAGGCCTTAGCAAGAGTATTGGGATCAGAGGTTTAGAAAACCTGACTTATGAGGAAGGTTAAAAAACTGGGTCTGTTTAGTCCTGTGAAAAGACTGAGGAGGGACCTGGCAAGTCTCGCATTTGTTCAGGGCTATTCGAACGAGGAGGACGGTGATCAATTGTTTTGTGTGTCTTCTCTTGCGTCCTGCCACGTGCCAATAACCTGCTTAGAACAGCTGTTAGCCCTCACAGACTGGACCTTCATATAAAAGCGTATCCCAAAACCCCTAAGCCCTTCCCGATCCCGTGGTAACAGCTGCGACAGGCTCAGTGCAGGGGGGGGGGAAGGGTCACGAGACCGCTCTCAAGCACCCCCCCCCTCAGCTCCCCCTCTCTGGGGGGTCTAGTTTTCCTCTTTGTTTGGAGGAGATAAATGGAAAAGGCCGTTTCCTCTCCGGACACTGCTGCTCTGATTGGAGTTGGGTCCTCTCCGTGCTCCTGCCGGATCACGGGTTACATAAACGGCCTCCCGGAAGGCAACAGGGAAAGGCTGATAAGGGGCACTAATTAGGGTGGCCTCGTTTTCCCCCACCAGTCAGCACTTTATAGCCCAGTGTCTCTGCCGACCTCCCTGCTCAGCACAGACCAAGCCTGCCCTTGGCCTGGGGGGAGTTTGATCGTCACGTTTGCAGGACTCAGGATCTGATCATAGAATCATAGACTATCAGGTTGGAAGGGACCTCAGGAGGTCATCCAGTGCAACCCCTTGCTGATGGCCAGAAGGGGACACAGCCAGCCTCCTGTAGCAGAGAGGGGTCGCCGTGTTAGTCTGGATCTGTAAAAAAGCGACAAAGAGTCCTGTGGCACCTTAGAGACTAACAGACGTATCGGAGCCTGCGTCTGACGCAGTGGGTATTCACCCACGACAGCTCATGCTCCAATACGTCTGTTCGTCTCTAAGATGCCACAGGACTCTTTGTCGCTTTTTACAGCCTCCTGTAGGGCATTTGAAATGGTCTTAAAATTGT